GTGTCAGCGGTGCAGGTGTTTCGCCTGCATATCTCCCTGTGAGTGATAGCAAGGAGCGTACAGCGCTGAAACGAGTGACCCAAATGTACTTGAAATTAAGCCCTTGGGCCGAACCTTTCCCGTGAAGGTATCTAATAATGTAAAAGGGCCTTACTGCGGTGGGACGCTGGCAAATACAGTGTTGGGTGTTTTTACCTTTACCGTTAAAACCAAAGCATATTGGATTATCCCTGGAGTGAGAAGGCAAGATGTCTTTCCTCCGCTGGTACTTGATTTTGAAAAAATAAATTGCTGAAGCTAATAGATTCACAGAGAGAGGGTGTGAAGGGAGAGTACTGTCCTTGAGTGATCTCAGAGATGTGTTCGTGCTATAGAAAACGTGCCTCTACTATGTTAAACATGGTAACGTTCGCTTAGGGTTAAATTCTGGTGGAATGTGCTTATTAATTTGATCGTCCTGTTCACCCCCATATCTTTCCAGCATCTCCGTCGCCAGCCAAGCATCGGGCAAAAATGGACGACATTGTGGTGGTAGCCCCAGGAACGCAATCCTCCCGGAATGTCAGCAATGATCCAGATGTCATAAAACTGCAGGAAATCCCAACTTTCCAGCCCCTTTTGAAAGGTAAGTGATTGTTCTTCCTTTGTTTTTAAAGGCCTTTTTTTTGAACCTAACGGAGTGTGTGCTTTGTGTGTCCTGAGGTTCCTGCTGAAGTTCACATTTCTGCCCATATTTTTCACTGCTCCCTTGTTTTAAACCTTACTTTCTTTTGCTCTTTCATAATTATTCCCAGCCTTCTAAACAGTGGGTGAACTGATTTAAGAGTGTGCCAGTAATGTTCTCTGCAGTGGAACCATCAACTGTGGAGACAGTACAGCTCCAAGCCTGCCAGCTTGCCCTCTACCACTGGTTGATGAGAGATGCCATGTTAGATTCTGAGACATCATGGACTGCAGTCTCCAGTTTTGCTCTAGGCTCTTAAAAACGTCTGTGTGTTACTCTCTCGGAGTCATAGCTACCTGCGTGTGGAAATCAAGATATCCTGTGGGGGTTTCCAACCTGGAGCAGTTTTTGTTCTTGTTTTTGGGGATGGGGTGGGGGAGGTGGACTGAGGCTTGCATGGGTCCTTAAGCCCTCTGTTGACAACATGCCTTTATATCGGTGGACTTAGTGAATTCCTGCCATGTCTGTCTGTCTTTTCCTCACAGTCTTTTTTTCTGTCTTCCTCAGCACCCATTCTTTATTCCTTCTGTTCTGTTCAAAGGGAAGTGAAGATTTAAATCAGAGTTGCCAAACCTACAGTTTACCAAAAACTGTTTGTGTGTTTTGTGGCCTGGTTTCTAGCTACCTCTTTTTCTGGAGGCTGCGCAGTGTCCTTAGTATCTGAAAGTCCCTTAGGAAGGAAGATGTCTGGAGCAGCATGCATGAATCGATTTGGTAAAAGCAGCCTGCTCCTGGGCTCCTCTCCCTGGAACAGTGTGGGTCAGCAAACTTGTATGAATGTGCTGTGTAGTGGACATTCAGTGAGCTGAGGCTTTTTTGAAAATATGAGGCCTACTGTGCCATGTGTACATTGGCTGCAGCACTTGCTCATGTCTCATAGGCCTGCTCTGACAGAGAGGAAGGAGCTGGGATGTTTAGCCCTCCCTGCTTCTGGAAGAAATGGTGTCATCTTGTGCAGCTGATGGTTTAGGCACTACTGGTCTGAGTGTCGCCGATTCATGTGTGGCTGCTGGGAAGATATGGTAGCCACTTTGCCTTGCAGGCATCTCTAGAGGTGACATAACGTCGCAACATCGCTTACTGGACAGGCACTCTTTACTACTTTTTTTTTTTTTTTTTGGTGTATGTGTCTACTGCGTGAGGAACCTGGAGCATGACTAGAATTTGTGGACACTATGATAGCCCAATGGGCCAAATATTTGGCATTTTACTGAGTGCTGCTGGGTAGGTGTCCAGATGTGTGCAGCACTGACTACTCTTTCCAGCTGTAGGGGCAGAAAGATAGGGAGGCCACTAAACTGGAGAAAAGCAAACGCGGATATTTTTGGGGCTGGTACTGCAGTCCCTCTTGACCAAGGAGAGTATGTGTGTGTTGGTTATATTATATTATTTTTTCTTTTTTTAAAACTGTAAAGGGGGTGATGTAGAAATCTGATTTATTCCTGACATTTTCACTGCCATTTTAGAATGGACTGTAAGATTGCTGGTGTTGGCACAGTGTTCATGTCAGCAGCAGACTGGGTCATTACCTGTGGACAGAGCATGCTTTGCCTGAGTCCTGCCTTGTAGAAAAGGCAGAACCAGGATCTTGCCAGTGGCAGTTTGGAATGTAAATGCTGGAACCCAAATCCACAAAAGAAATACGGAAGTTTTAATCTGAGAGACCAAATTTAGAAGACGCATTAACATCTGTCACTGAGGTTGTTGTGCATGTGTAAGAGCATGATGATGAAGAGTTTCAGTTCCACCCAGCCTCAAGCTGTGGTGAGCAAACCTGGGTTGCATAAGAGCTGTGGAAGTCCTGGGAAGTGGGACTGGTGACTGCTTCCAGAGGCAGTGTTCCTGTGTGGGTGGTTGAGGGGCAAGCATACAGGGCTTGAGGTGGAAGTGAGAAAGAAGAGAGAGCAGCAGCTGTGTGGCTGAGATAGAAAGGTTGGAAAGCAGTGCTTTACGATGGCCAGTCCAGGTCCTTTAACTCATGAACATGCATACGTTAAGATGTTTGATGGAAGTCATCTTGGTCACTGATTTGCTTTTGCTGGTCTTACTTTGGACCTGAAGCTGCACAGGTATGATAGAAACCTTTTCTATTTCTATCACTTGGCCTGCTGAGTTTCCCTGAGTCTCTTGAGATGTGGTGACATCTGGTGACTGATCGAGAGAATTGCATGCTTAATCACGTTCACTTTCGTGAACAGCTTTTTCAGACTCTAGTATTTGTTATTGCTTGAACAACAGGACTTGTGTTCACTACAGAAAGCAATATGGTCTGTTGAGTGAGTTGAGTCTTGAGAGACCCCAGATCTGCTGGAGGCCAGCTCAAGAAGCTGTTCTGTTTTGGACTGGTCTCTCCTCTGTATTCTTCACATGCAAGATGATGTTCTTGGAAGGATTGAAGAAGGATACTAGAGATCTTTTAGGAGTTATCCTAAAAACTTGTGTCTTGTGATGTGCCAGCTTGGAAAGCTGAAGATGTGAACTCATAGCCCTTGTGAGCTTCATTATTCCATTCAGTTTCACCTTGGCTAAGCAAAGACAAAGAATTTTATTTTGCTTTTAAGTCTCAGAAGAAGCCTAATAGTTAAATTGATGGACTGGGGAAGCATATGGTCACGAAGAGACTACATGTTCTTGAGGGACAAAGTATTTACGAGCCAAAGCACAAGTCTGTCCTAGCCACATTGAGTTGAGCTTGCGATCAATGAAAACTGGAGATCTTCAACTTTGTACACCCTTGCATGGAAGAAAATGCCAGTGTTGTGTCCATTACATTTTTTGTGTTAGGTTTTCCTTGATTTCTACAGCAAAAATTGTGCCTTGGTGTTACAGCTGTGATTGTGTAGTGTTCCTCTGGGTAATGTTTGCCTTCTTCAGAGCACTGTCATGGTTACTGAGCATGCATAATAAGCAGCGTTTAAGAGGTCAGCGTTTAAGCATTTGCTGATTCCTGTGTTTGAACCTGTCAGATGTAGCCATTCGGTAGGGTAGGCGCTAATGTCTTGAAGTGGTTGTGTAGCACCTACTGTGGTGACTCAAGGACCAGAGTGTCTTTTTTTTTCTTAGTGCCAGGGACTATCTTCTCTGGTGCTATATTCATGTGGACAGAAAGGGGAGAGCGTCCTACACATGGTGGGTTTAGGAAAGTATTCCAGTGGATGCCTGTTGTATTGCCATTTGAAAATGTCAAATTCCAATCCCACCCAAACTGAGAAGAGAGAAAAACTACTCTTAAGGAGTACACCTGGGGATGAAGTGCCTGAATGTTGTTCTCCAGAAACTGCTATATATTTGGGGTGTTTGCATGTTTTTTTTCCTGAATGTCAAAAGCCTTCTATTAGAAATGCTAGCAAGGAACTTCATTGCTTGATGAAACAAGACTTTTTTTTTTTTTTTTGATAAGTGGGGGGGAAAGTTTATAATCTAGACTCCTGGGAGCAACAGAGGAAGCCTCTAATCTTTTCCTTTGTTGCAAGCTTTCCCTGCAGAGATTGTTTTATAAGTGGTACAGAATAAAACGTGAAAACGTGATATGTTGTTTCTTTCCTTTATGTGGCTTTCTGAGGATATTGTATGAAAATGAAGCTTCTGTCTGTTCAGTGTCCCTGGTTTTTGCAGTCTGTTCATGGTGTGAAGTCATGGCCAGCTGTATATAAAATCAAAGTCATCTTCTGTGAGTAATCCAAAATAGTATTATTTGTGTAGCTTATGAACAAAGCAGCCCATCTTATGAAGGTGTTTTGAAAAAAACTAAAAATGCAATTTTCTTTGTAGTCTTTGACTACAGAAGGCTGGTAAGGTACCGCAGTGTGGGATTTCTTTTAGAAAGGCTTACTGGATCTGTAAAGTATCACCTCTGACCAGGGATTTGGCTTTTATGACCAGGGGATCCTCTTTGAGGATTAAGGACTGCTGGTGAAAGACGGGGTCCGCTTGACTGAGCAGGATTAGAGCATCTTTACCAACAGGTGGGCCAACCTGAAAACAAGAGTGTTAAATTAGGAATGATGGGGGAAGGAGATTACAACTGCAGTTAGGTGAGGAAGCAGTGGACAGGGTTGAAAAGTGAAGGGTGAATGTTCTGGGTTTTTTGGTTGTTTTTTTTTCCCTATGCATAAGATGGGTGGGGTAAGGAATGAAACATTGTTACAAAACTTCCTGAAAGCTTTTGGAAAGGATGCTTAGGTTTTACATTTGTGTCATGAAAACAGAATACTCATTGCATTTTTCCAGATGGCATCAAAGCATCTCTCGAGCCTCAATAAAGACTGAGGTCTATCTTTCTGGTAGTAGTGATGTGTTACGGTAAGCAAAAAAGGTGGATACATGTAAAGGACCTATTGGTGTGTATTAGTAATACAGGAGAAACTGATCAAGAATTAGTCCTCCAACTACAAATATACTTCCTATTCTGTGCCAAAGTCAGCAAGACCTAAGGCAAACAAAATGCTGGGAAATTGATAGTAGGAACAAAAACTTCTACTGGTGTATCTATTAAATTAAAAATCAAATTAAAA